ATCTCTACCGCTTTATACGCACAAAGCTGACGTTACATCGTTTCTACCTTCTTGCCCCTGCTTCGCATCTGATCCCTTTCTTTTCTTCCCCCTCTCTCCCGGTTTTCTCCGACCAACCTGCGCTGTTATCTCCTCACCTGCGAGAATTTCCCTACTTCGCGATTTCTCGACCAAGTATTCGTCAAAAATTTTTGAAACTGCGGACGGTGGATTTGATCGACGGTATCGATTGAATTCGGGAACGTCTGTGTACCCTTTCGCGTTTCGCGGAGGAGCGTCGTTGCCGGTTTCCTTGAGACGAACGCGTTTCGAACCCGACGAGGTTTTGCATCCCCTGGACCACGTCCGAAAGTCGCACGATTCCAAAGGGAAACACGGTTGAAACGAATTCTCTTTTTCCCCCCTACTGGATTATCGTTTGTCGGATTCCGGCTTTCCTGTCGCGCAAGGTGGCTGTGCAAGCTTGGACGCCCTTTCCTACGAAGCATCGGGGAACGCCTTCGACAACAAATACATTCGTCAGAGTTTTATCGACGACCCATGCTTTCTATCTTTTCTGACAGTTCGTTCACGGGAAATGAATTCGTTCCGAAAGATAAACACTAGCAGCCCCGGGTTTTAATATCGTTCCCCGATTTACCTCGTAGGTGATTGATTACCCTTGTACCCTCGGCCCCTGCCCGCCTCGCGGGCTTCGATATCCATTAGAAAACAAAGAGTTCGAAACCTTTCACGCAGGCGAAGCAATTTAAATCCATATCTTTCAGTAAACCAGACAAAACGCGGCGATAAATACCGGTCGCGTTCAATTATACTATTTCTGTCGGAGTCAAGCACTCGACGAAACAGACACAATGCGCCCATTAAAAGCATTGTACCCTACAGCTGTGCACTTCCGACGCTCGCGGAATTGGCGCAACAAATTCACCCTCGGTAGCAGTATCCCCGAACGATTTTCTTTACGGCGCCATTAAGCTTGGAAATAAGTAGCGATTAATAGCGCGACGGAGCGAGATCCTATAGCGGAGGATGGCCGGGGTTGGGGCTGCGGGGGGCGCGCGAGAGGGTGGCGCGACGTTGGAAGAACTTCCAGCGAACTTTCCACGGTATCACATGCGTTTCGCGAGACTAAGTTTCCCCCCTCCATCCAACGGCTCCTGCACCCTCTGCTCCGCTAGCTCGTGAAACGTTCGACAAATCTAGTATTTCCAGGGGCGGGCAGGATTAAAGGCGAAGCCGAGTTTCCCCGATTCCTCTTCGCAAATTACCGGAATTCCCCGGGCGAACTCGCATATTTCACGTTTGATGCGCCGCGAACAAAGGGAATCGGGACGCGGAGCTTGGATTCTCTTTAACCGGGCTAAAAGATGGAAAGAGAGAGAGAGAGAGAGAGAGGCGAGAGGAGAGACACCGGGTCTCGCGAGTCGTGTCCTCGAAGATGTCGAGCAAAGTAGCGACACGGCTACGGAGTTTCGCGAACGAGGGAAAAGGAGTTTATCCAGTGACGCGAGGTGACAAATCCTCTTAACCGTTTTACAACCCCGTATTGTCGCGACCCGCGTGCATACGCGCAAACGTGCCGGCGTAACGACGTCGCGTCGCGTCTCTTTGTTTGCTCTTTCGCGTTTCTTACCTTTCCCAACTCCTGCGCTGTGCCCTGCGTCGCGGGTTAGCGTTGCTCCTCGTGGTCGCTCGACAAAGGGGCACGTGGTGGTGTAGATGGTCGTTTCGTCACCGGTTAGATCTAGTCTTTGCGATTTCACACAGCACTACGCGTTTGTTCGACACTGAGCAACCTCGCGATTCGTTCGACCGCGACCGACTGAGGTTCTTAGGGATTAGGCGAGACTGTAAACACTGACCGAGCGCACGCACCGGAGAATACCGACTGTCGAACGACGAGGTTTAACTTGTTTTGAAAAACTTGAGCGAGGTCGTTTGCCCGATTGCGACGAAGCGTATACGTCGTCAGAGTGAACAAGGAAAACGATAAGCCAACCTGTTTTCGTTATCTCCTTGACTCGCAGTTTAAATTCCGATGCCACGTGCCATAATCAACAGCTTCGTCGACACGGCGAGGAGTAACGCGTAACTGAAACAGAAAAACATCGGTGGAAATTTACCACGTGTCTGACCCGTGTCGTTCATGTTCGACCCTATCTACGAACCTCGTCTCTCACTCGTGATACGCATGTCTCGCGCGATGTCTTACGCGAGGGGGTTAACCTAGCGTCACCTCGTTGTTCCGCGTAATCTTTCAAGTAGTACGAAGCAGGGTGTTTATTCCGCGAATAAAAAAGTTGTACGCCGATTTTGTCGAAATAGAGATACAACGGGACGGTAAAAAATGGAATATTTTTTCGACGGAATTAATCAGCGCGTAAACGTCGAGATAAATACAATACAGAGAACAAATACTTTTCGCACCCGCCGTATGTCCATACAAATTTACCCCATTGTTTTTGAGCGCCGAGTCCATTCTCGTTGAAGTGTTTCCCACGTATTCAGTTACGCTGTGTGTATAGGGTAGCGTAACTGGGTTGCAACGCGGGTTGATTAATGAAAGATTCGAGTCCAGCGGACGCGGAGTTTATCGATGCCGCGTGCCACGACCCAGAATTTATCTCGGCTCCCGGTTCCCGTGCACGGAGAATTTGTCATCGCGCGAAATTACCACGACCCGAAAATCATCGTCGATCATGCCGCGAGATATTCTACGTTATCGGCGGGCATGATTCGGAATTTATTCCGCGATCGGTTATCACGACCCGAAATTTAGCGGCGCCCTCGAGGGTTTTACGAGGCGAAATTTATCGGCATCGATTTTTACGACCCAGAATTTATCGGTGCCGATTTCCACGACCCGGAATTTATCGGTGTTGATTTTCAGGACGAGCAATTTATCGGCATCGATTGAAAATTCGATCGATATTTATCGATACACCTCACTACGCGGCGCGGCAAACTCGCGCAAATGCGAAAACCTCATAACGCGAAATTTATCGATAACGGTTCCTTCAACGCGGCACGCATCCATATCGATTTTTTATCGACACGCGTTTGTCACCTTTGTTTCGCGTGCCGGAATTTTACCGAACACGGCGACAAAGAACTGCCTCTTCCTTTTTTCGCTATTTTCTTTCTTTACTTTCGCATGTCGATGTGTCGCGACATCGAATTACTTTGTACGGTCAAAAATTGATTCCGACTCGTGACTCGGCGCTCCGAGTAATCGGCAATTATTAACTTCCGTTTTGAAAAATTGACAGAGACCCGATGTCGACGGTTTCGTTGCAGTATACTCGTTTTAACGGAAGCACGACGAGAAAGGAAGCAGACCTATCGGGGAAAGCTCTGACG